CTGCAGTTATAGCCTATTACCGTATTTATAAGATAGTAATTATCAGACATTGTACCTTAACGCCCTGTATTAGAATTCATTCACCTTTATGACGATGTCTGCTCAGCCCAGCACAATAAAAATCTGCAGTCAGCGGCTGATAATAAGTGGGAATGTAAAAACCAATGACATCACCGGGCAGTGTTGGCCAACACCGGCTGATTAGAGTGACTGTTGGCTGCCGGGGGAGGAAACGGGTGAGTCAGTGAAGCCCTAAATCCAAAGCACTTCCAGAGTGAAACAATTCATCAGCACCTACACAGAGCTCCTCGTCAGTCTGCTGACTGAGCATTTGTTCAAGTCCATATTATGCAAAATGCACTTTTTCATGTCTTTTCAACATGTCCTTGGTGTGTCTCAAGACCCCCAAACTATAAGCAAAAACTGTCTTCTTTCTTTTTCTCTTGCTCAGTGTTTCAGTAAATGTGTGTGCAAACATGCCATTTGAATTTGGCTCCTGTCATGATGTCATGGAGGTGCTTTAATGGTTACGAAGGAGAGTCAGATATTTTCGCTCATGTCCTCCGGCTGCTCTGCCTCAACTCTCTGGATTTTCCTGATAGACAGATAGCTTTATTTGTTGCTAACGCTACAGCAGCCGCTAGCTACTGCTAACTGTAGCTGCTGTTATCAGACAAATCTACCCAAGCTGGGTGCTCCCAGTTGTCCGAAGCAGAAGTTAACAGCTAAAGTAACTGTCTATCAGGAAGATATCTCTTCCTGTGGTTTACCAAAGCTTTATTGACTGAAATATTTAAGCCCAAGATGCCATGTTTTTAAAGGCAGACTTTTAAATATTCCATCAAATAGAATCAAATATTCCATCAAATAGAATAGAACATTTTTATACACATTTCTCCAACCTGACTTATTTCAGCCTGACTGTTTTACAGTGAGACAAGAAAATAGTTCTGAGGGAATCATCCAGTCTCTATAGATATGGGTTTGGATTTAAAGATTCACAATATCATTGCAAAATATAGTCTATTAAGGAAATCAGCTTAAAAAATAACTGGTCAGCCTTAAAAAATCCACAGAGCTAAAACCAAGGGTATATTGTTATCTCAGACATAGTATATAAAGCAAAGCTTCCCACAATTACTAACTTGCCTCCAGGGTGTCTGAAAAATGTTTTGAGACCGTGTGAGCCCTAAAACTCTGCACTGAAACCAACACGGATGGCCTCTCACCTCCACGGCCCTCCAGGCTTATACGCTATTAAAGAAAACTCTGGTCCAAACACCCCACACAGAGACTTGACCAAGCACAGTGGAGACGGATCATGGTACTAGTCATGGGAGAGTCGGATGACAGAAGGATTATGTCACGTTTGAATGGAGTGTGGAGTCAGCTGGGAGGTGTCGACAGAGAGTTTCAATAACTTCATTATTTACATTCATGGTCTTCAAAAAAGTCAAATGAGGGATTTATCTAAGTTTTAAATTTCTTAGATCTTCTGTTCTTCCAGTAGGAAATACGAGTTCTGCATATGTAATGTAAAAGAACTACAGCAACTTTTCCAATTTTTATTTTAACTCCTAAAAATCATGTAATGTGGCTTCAGTGAAGAACTTGCTCCTGCGGTGGAAGATGTGAAGGGGTTCAGCCATCACTACTGATTGCTGCTGCTGTTTACGAGATAGTTTCAACTTCCTGAAGTTTGGATTTGTCACGTCTTTGTGACAAATTTGAGCACCGAAATGTAATGGAGGAAGGTAAATGTCTTAAATAGTGTGAATGGGAACCTCATCCTTGTTATTTAGATGCTTTATTGCCCATTAAGAGAATAACTGTATCTTAAACTCCAATGTGGTGAAAACTCACAGATATTGCTTAAATATTTGTAAAAATGAATGATCTAAGGATAGAACGGCAACTTCACAGCACTTCACAGCACTTGAATTTAACATTTAATGGAGAAATGGACGTGCACCTTAAATATCGGTAAAAATCATTCCTTGCACAGAAAAACTACATGCAGCACTGTCATGAGTGCCGGAGATCTAAGTTGAACAGGGGAATCAGTCTGTAAAATGTCATTTGCCTTAGTTTCTCTTCCAAATCAGTTTGGAATTGGGGGTTGGTTTACAACCTGTTTGACCGCTCAAGTTCCTACCCTGTTGGACATTGGGTGCTGTTGCTCCCTAGATCTGAGTAATTAATTAGTTAGGAAACTAAAATATCATAATTGATAGGAATGCTGGTCAAATCATTGAAAATAAAACCCAGGTTGTAGAAAATAACCAAAAGCTACGGCAGCTAAAACATTTCTGCTATACTGACAGACGGATGGACCGTCCTTCTGTCCTTTTTCCTTTTCTTGAATGTGTACATCTTGGCCAGGTGTGTGTGTGTGTGTGTGTGTGTGTGTGTGTGTGTGTGTCTCATTTCTGAACAAAGGAACCAGAGAAGAAGATGATGTCATCTTTTAACCGTTATGTGCATTTCTCTGTGTGTCGGTGGTTGGAGGGGGGGATATTCTGCTGTAATTATTACAGTCTGCGTGCTGAGGTCACCTTTCTCTCACACACACAAGAATCTTCTTTCTTATGTGTGTGTGTGTGTGTGTGTGAGAGAGAGAGAGGGATACTACTTGAATGCCTGTTTGTCTTTTGTGTTAAATGTGTCGTGTTTGCAGTGTGTGTGACTGAATCAATCCAGTCAACACACAGTCTTAAGCCAAAATTGCAAAGTCAGCTGGTAGCCTACCTCCTTACACACACACACAAACACATACGTGCTGCGGCTGCCTATCTGGGAAAAAGAATTGCAAATTCTCAGATGGAGATCATGAGGTCAGACTGAGAGAAATGTCAGGGTTCATATATGTTTGTGTGTGTGTGTGTGTGTGTGTAAATGGTAGTGGTGAGTGCTTTCAGTGGTGCCGGTAAGTTTGTGTGGGTTTTTTTTTAGTGTGCATTAGTATGTCAGAAATACGTGTGTCGTGAGCTACAAAGAGATGACTCAGCAGTGCAACAGTAAAATGGATGCGAGAGTTTAATGGTGGTCGATCTGTGTTGGCCTGCTGTGGCTAGAAAAGCACAGAGACACACCACACACTAGTCCACAACATTCCCATCAACACTCACAGTTCAAGAATGACCAACTGACATTTCTGGACATTGGCCAGTTCTAGGATTTGGTATATTTTGGTTTGATTTTGGATTGGGTCCAAATTTGGGAAGTACGCAAATTTGTTCTGACGAGTTGGCAAACTCTTTCCTATTTACACATGCAGCAGACAAGAAGAAACATGATCATTGAATGTAGGTCCACTGTTAACTGTCCCATCCAATGTTCACTCTGCTTTGGTCTCCACCACCTCCTTGCTTCACTATGTTCACCAGCTTAGTCGTTGAGTTTGTCTGTTACCCTTAGTGGTAGTGTACAGTGGTTTTTGCTGAAAACAGCTGCTGGAAATGTAGTTGGTGAGAGCTCTGAATGTGACCAAAAAGCAACGTAGAGCTGCAGAATTGGTGATATTTTAGTGATCTTCAATTCCAGCAACCCCTTTCACATTATACGTAGTTATTTAATTAAGTATATATGTAAAAAATAATTCAGCTTGTGAATTCTTAAATAGTAAATTATGTTGAGCTTTCGTATTTTAAAATAATTTAAAAGCTAAATATGAAAAAGTGAACAAAGGAGACTGAATGAGCAGATATGAGCAAATGCAATTGAACGCCAACCCTCACATGCTACTGTTGCAGCATACATTGTGGTAGCTGGTTGTTGGCAATTGTTGTTCTGTGCACTTCAAAAAACTTCAAGCACGCACATAATCGAAAAAACAAAACAAAATTTCCTCCAATAGAGTTGTGCTGTTGTAAATGAATGGCCGTTACAATGTGTCTCTTGTAAATGTCCGTAGTTATGTTCAGTCTTCTCTCTGCACTGAAACTGCTCTGTTTATCTTTCCCTTCCTCTCCCCTTCGCTCCAGTTTGTCCTCTCCCTCACTCCTCTCCCTTTGTTTATTATAACTGATATGGCTCAACATAACATCAGCCCACCTACATTGTGTTTGGTAATTGCTGTTCTCCAAATTCACTCTGTGTCTCACCTCCTCTCCCGCTGCAGACTACTGCCAGTATGAGATTTCGCCAAAAACAATATTAAAAAAAGTCACGTGTCCTCTTCCATCATCTTTAGTATTTCTTTAATTCTCTGTCTGCTTGTTGCATCATGAGTTTGGTCTTTCGTTTGTTTCGCTCTCCTGTTTTTTTTTACCAGTCTCAGTTCATTTCTCATTTACCTTTCCATTCCCATAGTTCCCACAGTTAGGCACCAGCAGAGATTTGCTTCCTTGTCATCTTTCCATTTTACTCTCTCTCTCAATCAGCCTTGACCTCCACACACACACGCACACACACGTCCCCTTTGGCTAAACCAAACTGAGTTAATCCCTCATCACTCAAACTGTGGACTGCTCATTCAGGATCAGGGGCCGGTGGTTCAGGTGTCGCAGTCCTGGTTCACACAAAAGAAACCTGATCACGTGGCAGTTCAGACACACATGGGTTACAAACATGATGCAGACCTAAAGGATTGTACAGACTCACACTCACACTTTCTTTCTCTGTCTGTTGGTTTCCAGTTTTCCATCTGTGAAAACATTTGAGCTAATGTTGTGAACCCGCAGAGGTAATTGAAGCATTCTGGACACATTGTGGAGTGAAAATGGGCTTTAACAGCAGGGTTTCTGTTCATTGTTGTTTTGTACTGTACCATGCTTGTTTGTTCAAGCTGTTTGGGCTGAAAATTGGCTTCTTTCAGCAACACTAAAAAATACCATTGTCATATTGTGCTCTTAATTGTCCTATGAAAAAGTATTTGTACTTTTACAGTAGTCACATAGATTGGTGAATGACTATGATGCATATGAATATGACGACGATGCATGCTGCATGGGGAACAAAAATGTACCTTTCCCTTATCTCTCTTCTGTTTTTCTCCCCAGGGTCGACATGTCAAGACGGGACAATTGGCGGCCATCAAGGTCATGGACGTCACCGAGGTCAGTAAACACCACTTGATGTATACTTGTGATATTTAGTTTATTAACCAGAGTTCCATCCAGATTTAGTGCAAATTTTAGTATCAGCAGTTGAGCGCATCGAGATTGGATGCCATTAAGCCTCTGCAGAAGAAGAGGACACAACTAAACTATGTAATTAAAAGGGCAGCAGTCAAACCAGAAACGGAGGAAAACAATGTAGAAAATGAGATGGAATATGGCATTTATGTTTTCTTGAGTTCATTTTAGAAAGGTTAAGGTGTCCTCGTCGCTCCACACAGATCTGATGGTCTGCCTGCTGCTATTCTTAGTCTCTTCAGGATAGCAGAAGATTCAGTGGACGTTTAAGTCACGTGCTTCATGTACATCATGATTTATTCACCAGGTCTGTTCCCAGTGCGCTTTGTAGCATTTTGCTTTCATCGATATTTATTTAAATTTTTCCCCTTTGATTTTAAGCATTTCAAGTCATGTTCATCCAGGCGGATGGAAAATCAGTTTAGAAGTCTCGTTTTTGACTGCGTGACTAAACTGCCGCTGCTCTTTTGCAGGATTGTTGAATTCTGTGGAAAATTTGAAAGCTTAAATATTTTGTCCGTCATAAGTAGTTGAGAATGAAGCAAATAGTTCTTCTGTTGACTTGGTTGTCTGGAACAGTTTGTTTTTACACAGCTATGAAGCTTACGCAACTTTGAAGAGAGAATTGAATACCGTAGTTATATAGCATAGATGCATGAAAAATGCATGAGGTGGGAACATAGCAGCCACAAAATACAGCTTTTGCAGATTTGGAATAGATCTACAATTTTATTTAAGCTCAAGTGTTTAATATAACAGTTAACACTAAAACAAGCAGTTTCTCTGACTCCCCTCCCTCTCTCCTCTCTGCACCCCCATGTCAATGTTTTCTCTCCAAAAATAGTCATAATTTTCAGGCTTATAATAACACAGCTTCCAACCCTCTTAGTAGTTTTTTTCTTCATTGGATAAAGCCAAGTTTGTGTCTGAAGCTCAACAGATTTTCAATTTCCCGAGGGCAGTTTAGCCAATAGCCTTAAAGATTGAAGATCTGTGTGTGTGTGTGTTTGTGTGTGTGCGCGCGTGCACATGCTCATGTTTTCGAGCCGATGGATGCATCCTTGCAGCTTACACAAAGTTGAATAAGGACCCAGAAGGTTGTTTCTGCCTGTGTAATTGGAGCCTCTGTTTCTTTGTGCTTACACATGCACAAATGCCCTGATAATCTTGCAGTATAAAACTACATTTCACTACATTCATGGTGTGTGTTAGTGCTTTCCCCCCTGCCTTTCCTGTTACTCATCGTTGAATGAATAACTAAGTGAGACAATGGGGAAAATATTCACAAACACATATTTGAGGTTACTTGACCATTTCCTGCCCTGACGCCTTAAAGAGCGGATCACCAAGGCTGTTGCCTAAAAACATTTAATCTGGGTCAACCGTTTACTGAAGAGGATTGTACTGTCTGCCTTTTAAGACCCTGCTGGTTTTAGCTGTGTCTCTAAAACCCCAATACTACGTCCAATCTTAGGATGGTAAGGACCCATTTACACTTGCCTTTTGTAAAGTGTAAAATCCAAACGACATTTTCATTTCAACACTTGTTGCCCAGATCATGATGCCAAAAGAGCCAATAGAACAATAATGTGTGTACTTTGGCATTTTAGTAACAACAATAACAATTTAGCTTGCTTTAGCTAAGAACTATCCATCACACAAACGCATGAATGAATCGTATTTGGGAACTATGAGCGAAATAAACGTTTGATCGGGCTCTACCTCACAAATCATTCAGTGGTTTAACTAATCAGGGATCAATAAATGCAGCTCAGTGCACCTTGTATTTGGATAGAAATTGCTGGAGCTGCTTTTCATTGCTGCTTTAAAGAGACAGAGAACAACGGCTAAGCTCAGTGTAATTTTAGCTGCCTTTATTACGAGGACAGAGGAGACAGGCCATAGATGCATTAAGAAAATCAGGCAGTGAGTGGATATTTCCACTGATTTCTCACTGACACAGTTACACTCTTGGAGGAGTAAAGATTATGTATCTGACTTAGAGAGACGGACGCATTTACACCCTTTCAACATCTGGCTAGAATCCAGTTGCTGTCTCCATCTCAAACCACCTCCAGCAATCGGATTTAAATTTGTCTTGAATGCCTCTTGGATGCAATTAAACCCAAGACGCATGAAGTGACCAAGTGCTAATGGGAGCTAAAATAATTGTTCAAATAGGTACTCTGTAATATTAACAGCCAATCTCTACAAAAGGAGATGCTGCTGGTTCCTCTCAGAACTCCTAGCAAAAAAGCACATTTTCTATATTGTATGCAGGAAAAAACTTTAAATTTAACACATACTTTTTTGTAAGTAAAAGAATGAAAGTACAGCAGAGTTTGATGTTGCAGTGCTACTATTTGATTCTTAACTGACCTTAAGAAACCATAGGTTGTCTTACTGTGAATAGAGACTAATGGAATCACTTTTATTTAGAAAAAAAACTCCCCTTTTAAAATGTTGATGGCATAATTGGCAGCATATTTTGAATAGTTTTGTATTCTTCCCCAGGCAACATTTTATTTTTAGACTATTGAATATTTGCCACCTCTGCAGTCTTTTGCCCTTTTTCACAGCCCTCATGGTTTTCCTGTGACTGCAGTCTGACACGGCCCTAAAGGAAAGAATGACCACAGCAGTTTGAGTCTGTCAGGAAATCAATCCATTATGAAACATTCTTAATGCCGTAAGAATGAATAGAAAACCGTAAAACAACCAATACATTGATTTTGAGGCCTAACTAATCTTAAAATGATAGGAATTTGACCAGTTGCAGTTGATATTTAATTGTATCAACTGGGATTTCAGTGGGAGGTTTTAGTGTCTCATAATAGTTTAAATATATCTTAAACCTGTAACAGCTGATTGTTTGGCCACTAGGGGGCTGTGGAAACATTCTGTGAATAACATCATTGACATATCATCACTTTTGAAGTTGATTTGGGGAATTTGTTAGCAAACAGTTATTTACTCATGAAGCAGATATGAAGCAAAATTAGCTTTCATTTGGAGTCATGTTTCTGGACAACTACTGTCCAAGTCCAATATAGTCACTCTCCTTTTAGAGCTGTATCCTCTGATCATGACTCGTTAATTTACTTTAGTTGCCACTGTGGCAGGTAACCAGACACATTTTGGAAATTCATGTTCAAAAGCTAGTTCGCAGTGAAATATTGAAAAGTGTACCTCAGTGTGGCCCGCAGGCACAAATCTTCCCACTGTGGAGATTAAAGGGAATATGTTTATGTAAACATATGAGCTGAATGACTGTAGAGAAATACACACATAGGGAACGTTCAAGACATGGCGTTTTTTTCTTTACCCGTCCAAAATGTTTAGGTCCTTTTCCACACGGCTCAACCGTTCTCTAAAATAAACACTTTGCGTTTGTCTGGATGCTCGCCAAGAATGATAGTTGAGCAGAGGAAGTTGTTTGCATTGGAATAGCTTGGGATTTTCACATGCACACATACACACAATCCAATGTTGTGTGTGTGTGTGTGTGTGTGTGTGTGTGTGTGTGTGTGTGTGTGTAAGAGAGACATATGAAGGAAACCACTGGAGCTTTCATACACTCACGTGTCACATGCAACAGCTATACGTCTCCTTTCCGGTGTGTGTTTGTGTGTGCCTGTGCACATCTCAGCATATGTGCTCTGACCCACATACAATTTCCTGTTCCATACACAGAGAGGGAGAGAGAGGCTGAGGACGGAGGAAGAGAGAGGATGACGAGTGACATTCAGTGTGTTGGGCTTTATAGAAATATTTTTATCACTTAATATAGATATAAACGATGAAAACCAATTCAGGATTTCTGCTAAGATTAAATACTAAAGCTTAAAATTCCCTAGTAGTAGGTAAAGTGGGTCACAAACAAAAACCTTACAAAAAAACCCTATAATCTTAAATCATTTAAGTATAAATCAATGATAATAAATGTTCGCAGCTAAAGAAGGGAACAGAATTACCTTCATCTGTGTATATACTCAGTGTCTTTTGCAGTATGTCTTAAAGATAAAACCAGCAGACGTGCAGAGGGTCGTACAGCTGCGTTAAAATACCTGTTTATTTTGTACAGAGCTGAAACAACAATTTATCATCAATACCTTAATAGACGGAATTTTAATCTAATGCAGCTCATTCAAGGGCATAGGTCTAATCGCAGGTGTTTTGTGTAAGCGCTTTACCTCTGTGCGCTTTACTGGATGTAAGTATTTCAGGTGATAAATGAAGTTTGTGCTATTCCGTCTTGTTACAATATACTATACACCAGCAGTCTGTTTTGTGTCAGTCTTTATGCTGCCAAAGTATCGAAAAACAGCTCTCAAGGTTAAGATGTTCGTGACTGTGGAAGTGTTCTGTGCCAACACCTAAAGTTTCCTCTGTTCTGAGCGTTCATCTATGCCACCTTTCTAATTAACATCTGATACCCCCCCCCAAAAAAGAACATGTGGTGTGTTGAGCTAACTGAATAACAATTAGGGTGGTAAGAGAAGAAGATGGAAAGGGAGAAACCAAGCGGGTGAAACCTTAGACAGGGAGCTTAAACGAGGGGAAGAAATCAGTGAGAGATTTTTTTTCCCTTTCCTCCTTTTGAGAAGGTTCAGCTGAAGTGCAGTGGGATTATGGGAGGGGCTGTCGCTGCTTGTCTGCTTGTCTCTTCACCTCCATCGCTCACATCTGTTCACCGCCTCTCTTCTCCTTTGTCCATCCATCCCCTCCCTCCGTTATATACTCTTATTTTTTTCATTTTTATTTTTTTCTGTTGCGTTCATCCAGATTCTTCATTCTGTGGTTTCTCTCCTTCTCTTCCCCTTTTATGGCGCATTCCCTGCTTGTACGCTTCTCGTTTCCATCCCTCGCCATCTTTCCTTCATTCGCCATGTCTGTGTTCGGTGGAGAAGGAGCGAGACCGT